TCGCATTGATCTGGAACTCACCAATTAGGCTAGGTTGACTGGCCAGCAAGACTCAGGGATCCTCCTGTCTCCACCCCCCACCCAGGTTTGGGATTACAAGTGCTTGCCGCTACTCCCACTTTTTTTTTTTTTTTTTGGTTTTTTGAGACAGGGTTTCTTTGTGTAGCTTTGCGCCTTTCCTGGAACTCACTCTGTAGCCCAGGCTGGCCTCGAACTCACAGAGATCCGCCTGGCTCTGCCTCCACCGCCCGGCCACTACTCTCACTTTTTGCATGGATACTGAGGAGCAGACTCGGGTCTTCATGCTTGTATGGCAAGCCTGTTCTGGCTGAACTGTCTTTACAGCCTTTGTAACTTTTGAAACATTTTATTTCATGTGTGTGTTGTACCAGACTTTTTCTTTTGGGCCACCAACCAGCTCCCAAATCAACACACGGAGACTTACTAGTAATGAAGCTCGGCCATAGCTTAGGCTCGTTTCTTGCTAGCTCTTATAACTTAACCTGTTTCTCTCCATCTCTGTTTTGCCTCAGGGCTTTTTACCTTTCTTCTGTATATCTTACTTTCACTGCTTCCTGTGTCTGGCTGGCTGGTGGCTGCCTGGCTTCTGGCCCTAGGCGTGTCCCCCTCTTTCTTCCTCATTTCTCCTCCTCCTCCTCTCTCTCCAGCCTAGATTTCTCCTCCTGCTTATTCTCTCTGCCCATCAGCCCCGCCTGTCCCTCTCCTACCTAGCTATTCAGCTTTTTATTAGACCAATCAGGTGCCTTAGGCAGGCTAGGTGAAACAAATGCAACACATCTTCACATCGTTAGCAAAGGCAGCAGAAACAAATGTAACATACTTTCACATAGTTAAAGTAATATTCTGCAGCATAAACAAATGTAACCCATCTTTGCCTAGTTAAAATAATATTCCAGCCAGGTGGTGGCGGTGCACACCTTTAATCCAGCACTCAGGAGGCAGAGCCAGGTGGATCTCTGTGAGTTCGAAGCCAGCCTGGTCTACAGAGCAAGCTCCAGGACAGGTACCAAAAGTACACAGAGAAACTCTGTCTTGGAAAAAACAAACAAAAATAATAATAACATTCCACAGCAGTGGGTGCCTGAGTGTGTGAATATGCACCATGTGCATGCAGGAGCCTGTGGCAGGCACTTCCTACCTTGCACATTTTTGCTTTGTTTTGGAGATAGAGTCTTTCCATGTAGACCTTGCAATTCTGGAATTCACCATATAGATTGGAGTTAAAGACAGAACTGAACCCATGATCTCTGCCAAGAGAGGTCTCTTAACCACTGTGTTCCTGTGATGATTTTAATACATTGAGTTATTTTATAAATTCACTGTGTGCTGGACAGTTTTATGTCAACTTGACACAAGCTAGTCCCCTGAGAGGAGGGAACCTCAAGAAAATGCCTCTATAAGATCAGGCTGTAGGCAAGCCTGTAGGGCATTTTCTTAATGGTTCATGGGGGAGGGCTCAGCTCACTGTGGGTGGTATCTTCACTGGGTTGGTGGTCCTGGGTTCTATAAGAAAGCAGGCTGAGTAAGCTGGGTGAAGTAAGCCAGTAAGCAGCTCCCCTCCATGGTCTCTGCATCAGCTCCTGCCTCCAGGATCCTGCCCTGTTTGAGTTCTGTCCCAACTTCCTTCAGTGGTGAACAGTGATATGGAAGTGTAAGGTGAATAAACCCTTTCCTTCCCAAGTTGTTTTTTTGGTCATGGTGTTTCATTATAGCAGTAGTTACCCTAACTGAGACACACTAAGTACACTTACTGGGAATATTGAGGCAGAACAACAAACAGATTACCCGAGACATGGGGTAAGGAAAACCTTAAGTGAGGCCTGAACACTGTATCTTTTTAAAAACTTCTTACTGGTATGTATTAATTATATAAAATAGTGGTTTCATTATTACACTTGTGTGTGTGTGTGTGTGTGTGTGTGTGTGTGTGTGTGTGTGTGTGTGTGTGTAGACAGTACTTTGATGGTATTTATCTCCCTATTACTCATTTAAAATGATTTGTAGAACCATCTGGTTGTTTTGTTTGTTTGTTTGTTTGCAAATAACATGATTTCCTTCTCTTCCTCCTCTTCTTTTTTTGAGACAGTATTTATGTAGCCCTGGCTGTCCTGGAACTGCTGTGTAGACCAGACTGGCCTCCAACTCACAGATCGGTCTGCCTCTGCCTCCTAATGCTAGAATTAAAGGTGTGCACCACCATGCCTGGTGACTTTCTTCTTAGTAATATCTGAGTAGTGCTCCATTGTGCATACAAATATATGTGAAAAACATTAGTGTCAATCACCTGGCTACTTTTATGGCTCTGAACTCTTACATCCCAATACAGAGTCAGAAGATCTGATGTTGAAGCCCAGAGATCTGCGTCTTAACAAGCCCCCTCCCAAGAAAGTCTATAGAAAATTGAGAATCGTTGTCTTATTTTCTTTGTGGTACTGGAGATTGTACCTCGGGCTTTGTGAATGTTAGGCAAGTCTCTACCATTGAGTTATATCACCAGCCTGAGAATCAACGGGTTGTTTTTTTTGTTTTTGTTTTTGTTTTTTAGCCTTTTGAGACAGTGTGTAGCTTAGGCTGGCCTTGAACTAACGATGTTCACACTGGAGTTGGTTTGGCACTGCCTCCACTGGAATTACAGGTGTGAGGTGTCAGACCTGCCTCTGAGAATCTTTAAAGGATGAGTGCGGTGAAGTGAGCAGAGTGTAAGGGGAGAGTGTTCTAGGAAGAGGACGGTGGTGTGAGCCTGCACTTAGAGGACACAGAAGCATGATGGGTGTAAGCGCTTAGAATAACATTTGTAAGGCGCAGGCCTTCGATCACAGCACTCAGGAGGCAGAAGCAGGCAGACCTTTGAGTTTGAGGCCAGGCCAGTCTGGTCTAGTCTACATAGTGAGTTCCAGAATAGCCAGGGCTACATAGGAATACACTATCTCTAAAACAAAACTGTGTAAGGTAGGAAGTGACTAGTAAAGGCAGAGGGGTCATAGGTTGCTGGCTATGTCAGAGAGGACTTGTAATAGCAGATTAAGCCCTTAAACTTTGTCCACCAGAGACAGTTTTGAGTTCTCGCCATCGTCGAATGCTTATGCCGGGCATTTCGCCTATTGATACTATCCAGTTCAGTGACATTCATTATATTCCCATAAGTGTGTGGTGTGTTCAGATAATTGTGCACCTTTCACTAGCTAATTTTAGGACATTGTCATTACCCTCCAAAGAAATTCGTAGCTGTTTAGCCATCACCTCTCCAGCCCTAGTGGGTTATAAAGTGGTGCCTCATTGTGGTTTTGCTTCAAATTTCCCCATAACCAACATGGAGCATCTTTTTATGTTCTTATTTACCTTTTATTTATTTTGTTTTATGTTTTGGGGGTTTGTTTGTTTTTGTTTTTAGTTTTCAAGACAGGGTTTCTCTGTGTTGCCCTGGCTGTCCTGGAACTCACTCTGTAGACCAGGCTGGCTTTGAACTCACAGAGATCTGCCTGCCTCTGCCTTCAGAGAGCTGGAAATAAAGGCTTGTGCCACCACACCCAGTTCTAGAAAGTGTTTTTATTCTCCTTTTTTAGGAACCTCCGTATTGTCTTCCATAGAGGCTATACTCATATACATTCCCAGCAGTATGTAAAGATTGCTCCCTACCCAGAATTCTTGCTTTCTTGTCTTAGTTATTCTAAGTTGAGTGAGATGGAATTTCTTTTCATTTTTTACTTATTAGTGTGTGTGTGTGTGTGTGTGTGTGTGTGTGTGTGTGTGTGTGCGCGCGCGCGCATGCAGAGGTCAGAGGACAGCTCTGGGGACTTCCTTCCTTCCTTCCTTCCTTCCTTCCTTCCTTCCTTCCTTCCTTCCTTCCTTCCTTCCTCCCTCCCTCCCTCCCTCCCTCCCTCCCTCCCTCCCTCCCTCCCTCGTTGGCGTCAGATTTGCAGTGTAGCTCAGACTGACCTTAAATTCCTAGTCCTGTCTCTACCTTCCAAGTGTTGAGATTATAGGCATAACACTAACTGTATTTCTTTTTGGTTTTGAGGCAGGGTCTTAACTCTAGCCCAGGCTGGCCTAGAACCTTAAAAAGGCTTTTTTTTTACATCTCTCTGTCTGTCTGTCTATCTATCTGAGTGTAGGTTGGTAGATGCACATGACACAGTATGTTTGCAGATCACAGGACAACCCGAGGAAGTCAGTTCTCTCCCTCTACCATGTGGGTTCCAGGGATCAAACTCAGTGGTCACACTTGGTGGCAACCCCTCTACCCAATTGAGCCATCTTATCAGCCCTGGCCTAGAACTCTTGATCCTCTTCTCTCAGCCTCTGAAGTGCTTAGAGTACAAGTGTGTATTTTTTCTTTTTTCTTTTTTTGGTTTTTTTGAGACAGGATTTCTCTGTGTAGTTTTGGTACCTGTCCTGGAACTCACTCTATAGCCCAGGCTGGCCTCGAACTCACAGAGATCCCGTCTGGCTCTGCCTCCCGAGTGCTGGGATTAAAGGTGTGCCCCACCACTGCCCAGCATGTGTGTATTTTTTTTTCTGTGCTAATATCTGCCACCCTGAATTAAGGGCTTTAGAAACCCAACTTAGTTACAGGACTGGATGAACCTCAGCTGGTAAAATGCTTGCCTAGCATGCACAAAGCCCTGAGTTCACACACAGCACCACACATAAAATTGAGCATAGCACATGACTACAATTCCTAGCACTCGTGAGATGGGTTAGAGGCTGGGGGATGAGAAGTTCAAGGTCATCCTTGGCTATATAGTTGAGTTTAAGAAGAACTTCATGGGGTGCTTGAAATTGTCTTTTAAAAAAAAAATCCCAACTACAGTCTGGATTCAAAAATGGACTCTGAAGCTCTCATAGAATATTCAGTCTGTTTCCCTCCCTCTCTCATATTGGCAATTGACCCCAGAGGCTCCTTCATGCCAAGCAAGTATTTTACCACTTGAGCTTTATCCCTAGTCCCATGTCATATTTCTTTTCCTTTTTTTAAATAGATATGTGCAAGAAGCCAAAGAAGCAGCTAAGAATGGAGATCTGGAAGAAGCATTGAAACTTTTCAATTTGGCAAAGGACATTTTTCCCACCAAAAAGGTGATCAGCAGAATCCAAAAACTCCAGGAAGCTTTGGAGCAGTTGGCAGCAGAAGACGACGACGATGAGTTCACAGATGTGTGTAACTCTGGCTTGCTGCTTTATCGAGAGCTGTATGAGAAACTCTTTGAGCACCAGAAGGAAGGCATCGCCTTTCTCTATAGCCTCTATAAGGATGGAAGAAAAGGGGGCATCTTAGCAGATGATATGGGACTGGGAAAGACTGTTCAGATCATTGCTTTCCTGTCTGGTATGTTTGATGCTTCACTTGTGAATCATGTGCTGTTGATCATGCCAACCAATCTCATTAATACCTGGGTCAAAGAGTTTGCCAAGTGGACTCCAGGAATGAGAGTCAAAACCTTTCATGGCTCCAGCAAGGGTGAGCGTACTAGAAGCCTGACACGGATTCAACAAAGGAATGGCGTCATTATCACTACCTACCAAATGCTAATCAATAACTGGCAGCAGCTTGGAAGCTGTAATGGACAAGCATTTGTATGGGACTATGTCATCCTTGATGAAGCCCATAAGATCAAAAGTGCCTCTACCAAGTCAGCAATATGTGCTCGTGCTGTTCCTGCGAGTAATCGCCTCCTCCTCACAGGAACACCAATCCAGAATAATTTGCAAGAGCTCTGGTCCCTATTTGATTTTGCTTGCCAGGGCTCCTTGTTGGGAACATTAAAAACTTTTAAAATGGAGTATGAAAATCCTATTATTAGAGCAAGAGAGAAGGATGCTACCCCTGGGGAAAAAGCCTTGGGACTTAAGATATCTGAAAACTTAATGGAAATCATAAAACCCTATTTTCTCAGGAGGACCAAAGAAGAAGTGCAGACGAAAAAGGCAGACAACCCAGAGGCCAGACTTAGTGAAAAGAATCCAGGTGTTGAAGCCATTTGTGAGATGCCTTCCCTTACCAGGAAAAATGATTTCATTGTTTGGATACGTCTTGTGCCTTTACAAGAGGAGATTTATAGGAAATTCGTGTCTTTAGATCACATCAAGGAGTTACTAATGGAGACACGCTCACCTCTGGCTGAGCTGAGCGTCTTAAAGAAACTCTGTGACCACCCTAGGCTGCTGTCTGCACGAGCCTGTCATTTGCTGAACCTAGAGGCTGCCACATTCTGTGCTCAGGATGACAATGAGCAAGAAGGTGCCTCAGATGTGCACAGCATTGATCACTTAACTGACAATGCACTGATGCAAGAGTCTGGAAAAATGTTATTCTTAATGGCCCTGCTAGAAAGACTTCAAGATGAAGGACATCAAACTCTGGTGTTTTCTCAGTCAAGACAAATTCTCAACATCATTGAGCGCCTCTTAAAGAATAAGCACTTTAAGACATTGCGAATTGATGGCACAATTACTCATCTCTGGGAACGAGAAAAAAGAATTCAGTTATTCCAGCAAAATAAAGACTACTCTGTTTTTCTACTTACCACTCAAGTAGGTGGTGTTGGCCTAACGTTAACTGCAGCAACTAGAGTGGTCATTTTTGACCCTAGCTGGAACCCTGCAACTGATGCTCAAGCTGTGGATAGAGTTTACCGAATTGGACAAAAAGAGAATGTTGTGGTTTATCGGCTAATCACTTGTGGGACTGTAGAGGAAAAAATATATAGAAGACAGGTTTTCAAAGACTCACTAATCAGACAAACTACTGGGGATAAGAAGAATCCATTCCGCTATTTTAGCAAACAAGAGTTAAGAGAGCTCTTCACAGTTGGGGATCTGCAGAACTCTGCAACCCAGATGCAGCTTCAATCTCTGCATGCTGCTCAGCGGAGATCTGATGAGAAACTAGATGAGCATATTGCCTATCTACACTCGCTGGGCATAGCAGGAATCTCAGACCATGATTTGATGTTCACCCGTGACCTGTCTGTTAAAGAAGAACTTGCCATGCTAGAAGACTCTCTATACATTCAACAGAGAGTGCAGAAAGCTCAATTCCTTGTTGAATCCGAATCTCAAAATACAGTGGAAAGCAAAAGAACTGGAAAGGAGGAGGCCTGGCTCAAAGCACATGCAATTCCTTCTCAACAGAAGAAGAAAGGTCCTGAATTGAACAAACCCCAGCCTCAACCTTCACGCATTCTCACTAATCCTACCCAGGTAGAGGCTCTCAGTTCTCAAATGGCCAATATAAGCATTTATGACCAGTCTGCAGAGAGTGAGCCCCAAGATCACTCCAAGGGACATGATGTTACTTTGCTGCAAGGTGATCCGCACCACTGTGACAGTACATTTGATGCTGGCACTGTAGCTACTTCTCCCCAGGAGACTGGAAATATAGGAGGAGTTTGGACTGACTCTTCACTGGGACCTGTACAATGTTTTGCAGCTGAAAATGAAGCTGTGCAAAAGAAGGCATTACAAGTGTCGCCTGGGCAAGAGTCCCTGCCAGAGAACCTTCTGGGAAGTTTTAATTATTTACCTAGACAATCCATCAAGGCTGATCTTGGGGCAAGTTTAGATCTCCAGGATAGTGTGCTTTCATCTCACGGCAGTCCCACAACAAATGAAAATCAAAACGTAGAGTCAGATGTACACACGATTGAAATATCTGATGTCTTGTCAGCATCCTCTGGTGCACCGCAGGGTGCTCCAGCAAGCGAGGCCCAGTTGGAGTTGGAAGAGAACCTTTTAGAATCACCACCACAGTATGCATGTGACTTCAATCTTCTCCTGGAAGACTCTGCAGACACTAGACAAAATCTCTCCAGCAAGTTTTTGGAACATGTTGAGAAAGAAAATAGCTTGCAAAGTCCTGCAGCCAGCTCCAGGGCAGAGTCAGCCCTTAATCTTAGTTTGGATTCTTCTAATAAGAGTGATGAAGAACCAGACGTGATTAGTGTGAAAACCAGAAGCAAAGCTAGAAGGATCCTCTCAGACGATGAAAATGAAGAAGATGCTTTTAAAGGTATTTCCAGCACAAGTTCATTAAGCATCTCTCCCTTTCAGTTCTCATCTGTGAAACAATTTGCTTCAACTCCCCAAAATGACACCAATCCACCTAGAAGGTTCTTTTCACCAAAAATCCCCGATAATGGGAATACATCCTTGAATTCTAGGAGATCTTTGGCTTCCAGGAGGTCTCTGATCAATGTGGTTTTATACGATGTGGAAGATATGGAGGAAAGGCTTGGTAACAGCAGTGAGGAGGAGAGTGCTCCAGGTCACTCGGAAGAAGAAGAGAACAGCGATGAGGACAAGGACACAGCGTCAGCGTGCACGGAACAGGGTCCTGGGGAAGCACAGGCCTCGGGAAACAAGCCCAGCAGCTTGTCTGTGTCTGAGTCTGGTTCTCGGGCCCCAGAGAGTTCTGCCTGTGCCCCTGAGCCGTTGTCCAGTGAGCCTTTGGTTGATCCTCCCCAGGATCCGGCAGCAGAGGCTGCTGATGACTACGAGACTCTTGTAGCTCGTGGCAAAGAACTGAAAGAGTGTGGGAAGATCCAGGAGGCTCTTGACTGCCTGGTTAAAGCGCTCGACATAAAGAGCGCGGATCCTGAGGTCATGCTCATGACTTTAAGTTTGTATAAGCAACTTAACAGTACCTGAGGACTTCATGGCTGTTAGTATGTCTAAAGTGAAACAATATAAAAGTTTTGTTCAGTATTTCTTCTCTTGAATATTTCATTTTTTCCTTTTAGGCATATTTTACAAACTTTTAGAAGTGTTTTTTTATTTTTCGTTGATACTTCCTACAGTTTTTGTGAAACTATTGGGTTATTTTTTACTCTGAAAAGGGCCATCTTGTCTTGTCAGTTCAGATCAGAAAATTAAAGTGACTTTTCTCAAGTGTTTTCTTTTCCGTTCATTTTCTTTCATGAAGTGATAGGCAGAAGTACACAAAAACTCTCTAGTTAGAACAAGAGCTTGTCGTTTAACATTTCTAATCCTAAGACATCCTAGGAAAGTGGTATTTGTGCTCCTGGCCTAGCTGCAGACAGTCCCTGTGCTGGCTTCCTCCAGCACTCCTAGTCCGCCCTGGAACCTCTCTACCAACTGATCCCTAATTCTCCTCTCACCCTTGACTGCTGTGCTTCAGACCAGTTATGCTGTGGGTTAGGGTTTTGTTTTTTGTTGTTGTGGTTTGGGTTTGTTTGTTTGTTGTTTGTTTGTTTTAGTTTTTTGAGACAAGGTCTCTACGTAGCCCTGGCTGTGCTGGAACTCACTCTATGGACCTGGCTGCCCTGGAACTCAGAGATCCGCCTGCCTCTGCCTCCTCGGTGCTGGATTAAAGGTGCTTGACACTACGCCCCATTTATGCTGGTGTTTTAATGTTGTCACATCCTCTCTTTGGGTTGTAGACTAGATAGACTCTGATTCACCCTCAGAAACACGTGCAGCATGGTGTACGCTGTCACCCAAGAACTAGGCTAATGTTTAGAAGGTGCCTTCTGGATATTGATCAGATCACACAGGCCTCTTGTTTCATTCTTACCGTAACCTTTGAGGTGCAGAGTGAGTGAACTGCCCATGATGAGACAGTAAGACAGGAAACGGACTTAACCTTGTGCTGAATGAAGAGCAACTATGTAGCACTGATCTCTTGACTCATCACTTTTGACTCCCGTGTGGTGGCAGGAGTCTGTACTGAAACAGTTCTCTGGACAACAGCCAATGCCCTGCTTTTCAGTTTGGCTACTACCCAGGGTTAGCATGAGACGACAGGTTTTAGGCCTCAGTTCCCCAAAGGCTGCCTTCACGGGGTAGTGTAAAAGAGCTTTCTCCCATGTGGGAGGGCTAAGCAATGTCTGCCCCTCCTCCAGAGGTCCTAATGGCAAACCAAAGTAGGATTCATCCTGGGGAACAGAGTGTGTGGGCTTCCTTACAGTGCGTAGGTTGGGGGTTATTGAGCGGAGTGTGGGTCAGCAAAGTAGTCCCACTGGAAAGCCCACCCAGCCTGAGTGATGGCTTCCCCAAATCCTTTCCAGCCTGAATACTGTAGCCCCTCTACGAAACTAGAGGCCACATACAGTTAGAGCAGCTGTGAGTGCTTGGGGAAGGCTTCAGCGGCCCTCCCCGCCCCTCCTGTGAGGGAATGTCAACCAGCCCAGCTGTGGTGCTCGTGCAGACGCAGCTGCTCTGCTCAAAGGATAGTGCTGAGTACCACATGGCTACAAATGGGGTTCTCATCACCCTCCAGCTCACTGAACTTCCCAAAACGGTTTCCTATACTTAGTTTATTAAAGAAAATGAACTTTAGGAACAGGGAAGAGAAAGGATTATTAGGTATAAGTATGAAGGAGGTTGCAGGGGGCTTCCACACCCCCCAGGCAACACCACAACCTCAGCAACTAGGTGTATTAACCTAAACCTTCCCAAACTCATTGTCTTTTTCGGGGGGCAGGGGGGAGGTTCGAGACAGGGTTCCTCTGTGTAGTTGTGGAGCCCGTCCTGGAACTACCTCTGTAGCCCAGGCTGGCCTCGAACTCAGAGATCCAGCTGGCTCTGCCTCCCAACTACTGAGATTAAAGGTGTGCGCCACCAGGCCGGGCGGTGGTGGCGCACGCCTTTAATCCCAGCACTCGGGAGGCAGAGCCAGGCGGATCTCTGTGAGTTCGAGGCCAGCTTGGTCTCCAAAGCGAGTTCCAGGAAAGGCACAAAGCTACACAGAGAAACCCTGTCTCGAAAAACCAAAAAAAAAAAAAAAAAAAAGGTGTGCGCCACCACCGCCCGGCAAACTGTTGTCTTATGCGATGCTAGGGATCTATGTTAGGGTAGTTTTGGACGATTAATGAGATAAGTAAGCATGCTTGATTAAGTAGTTGGCCGTTAGCGGTTAATTAAGTCAAGTCTATAACCGTTGAGGGTGGGCGGCTCCGCTCCACTAATGAGACCTTGGTCTATTGACTCCCTGCCTCCCATCCCAGAGCTGGAGCAGGAGGTGGGGGCGGGTGTCTAGCCACCAATCATTTTGTCAGCAAACACTGTTCAGGAGGTTTTCAGGGGTTTAGGAGCCATGTGCCAGGAGCCAAGAACAAAGACTAATTTTTCATAGCTCCCCCTACTTAAAGCTCCCAACCCTGCTCCTGAGACCCCCCCACATGTGTGGATTAACTATTACCCACTCAGGTTCTGTGAATGCAGGGATTCACCTTGTGTTGTGCACTAAATGTATTCCCAAGGTCTAGAAGAAGTCAGTTTAGTTGATAACTGTTCAATAACCATCTGAAAATGAAGTCACTTAACAGGTTTGTTGAGCACCTATTTCCACCAAGGTTGTTAAATGAGGACAGGACACAGTCCCTGTTCTAGATGCTCCACACAGAAAACTACACAGGGCAAGTGTTCAGAGGAAGAAGCTTGGGCCTGACCCCTGAGGCCAGTTCAGCTTGCTACCAATAAGTTTATCAGTGACTTCACAGAAGCTATTTCCTAGGTCCCCTGAAACCAATGGGTCCCACTAGATCTCCAAGCCTGGGAAAAATACTTGTCCAAATATCCAGCTTCTGGCCTCTTCACCCCACATTCAAGATTTAAGGGGACAGCAAAGGCAATTGGACTATGGCCTCAGCCCTGCTCCTACTGAACTGCAGGTAGCACACAGCCTTTGCATGCCCCACTGCTCCTGGGGTGTCCTGCAGCTTCTTTTTTTCCTCAAAGCCTTTTATTATTATTATTATTATTAAGAGATCTTCTATTCATTTTACATACCAACCACAGATTCCCCTCTCCTCCCTCGTCCTTCCTCCCCTCCCCCATTCCCACCTCCTCCAAAGCAAGGTCTCCCCTGGGGAGTCAGCAGAGCCTGGCACACTCAGCTGAGGCAGGTCCAAGCCCCTCCCCACTGTACCAAGGCTGTGCAAAGTGTCCCACCACAGGCACTGGGCTCCAAAAAGCCGGCTCATGCACCAGGGACAGGTCCCCCCCAATCCCACTGCCTGGGGGCCCCCAAACAGTTCAAGCTAAACAAGTGTCTCACCTATCCAGAGGGCCTAGTCCAGTCCCATGGGGGCTCCTCAGCTATTGGTCCACAGTTCATGCTTTTCCACTAGTTTGGCTGGTCGTCTCTGTACATTTTCCCAACCAGACTGCAACCCACAGCTCCAGGAAGGCTAGCTAGCAGGGAGGACCCTAGGAAGGACACATGGATCGCCCAGTGAAGGAGAAATAGATGAGATCTACATGAGCAGATTGGGGATGGGGGGCAATGGAGGGCAGGGGATGGGGGAGGAGAACATAGGGGAACGGGGATGGTGGAGCTGGAACAGGGACAGAGTGAGAGAGCAAGGAAGGAGATAACCATGATAGAGGGAGACATCATAGGAATAGAGAGAAACCTGGTGCTAGGGAAGTTCCCAGGAACCCCCCAGGATGACCCCACTTTAGACTACTGCCAATAGTCAAGAGGGTGCCTGAGCTGGCCTACTGTGGTGATCAGATGACTGAATACCCTAACTGTCATCATAGAACCCTCATCCAGTGACTGCTGGAAGCAGATGTAGAGATCCATGGCCAGGTGCCAGGCCGAGCTCCAGGAGTCCAATTGACGAGAGAGAGGAGGGATTCTATGAGCGGGGGATGTCCTGCAGCTTCTTAAGCTTGTGCATTTTCTAAGAGTGGCCAGAGGGTGACAGGTGTGGTGGCACCTCTGCACACTTGTAATCCCAGCATTTGGGCGGTGATGGATGGCAGGAGGATCAGGAGTTCGAGGTCATTCTTTCCTACATAGTGAATTCAAGGCCAGCCTGGGATATATAAGACCCTGACTCAAAAATAGAACAAAATAAAACCTGTTTAAGTCTAAAGCACTGGGGAGGCAGTAGTGGAGAATCATGCCAGGCCAGCCTGGGCTGTCCAGTGAGGTCTTGCCTGCCCCCCTCCCCCGGCAAAAAAAAAAAGAAAGAAAGAAAAGATGCCACAAAACAAACCCAGCTGGTGGCACATGACTTTAATTCCTGCACTCAGAAGGCAGAGGAATCAGATTTCTGTAAGTTTTCAGCCAGGCTGGTCTACAGAGGAGTTCCAGGCCAGCCTGGCTTACAATAGTGAGATCCTCTCAAAACAAAGCAAAGCAAAGCAAAACAACAACAAAAAACAAACCCAGAAAACTCACGAAGCAGGTAAACAGGGCTGGGAATGTAGATCCACTGGTAGTGTGTGCCTAGCATGCACCCTGGTGTGGATTCCCAGCACCCCATAAACGGAGTGTGGGCATGCAGGCCTGTAATCCCAGCAGTAGGGAGGCAAAGGCAGGAGTATCCAGAGGTCCAGAGTAGCCTGGGCTAAATACCAAGGTCCTCTCTCAAAATAAAAGTTTCCTTATAATTTATTTATACATTGTTGCCATGTATAATGGTAAATACTAAAGACTTTTGAAAGATAAGCTGAAATTTAAACAGGTTATTGTTACAAAATTTTGCTTAGTGAAAACAATTATTACTAATATTTTATGGTAATATAATTGAATATAAATATTTTTTAAAGTTTTTATTGTGTGTATATGTGTGTGCATGTGTCTAATGTATAAATGTGTGTGGGTAGAGGTCAGAGGGTGACATCTTGTCCTCCTCAGTTGCTTCTCCACCTTATTTTTTGAGACAGGGTCTCTCACTGAACCCAGAGCTTCCCATTTGGGCTAGGCTGGTGGACCACTAAGGCCTCAGTGTCTGCCTGTCTGTCTGCTCCTAGTGCTTGAGTGCTTTTCATGTGGCACAGCAAGTACTTAGCAGGCTGGGCCAGGGCCCCAGCCCTTCAATCAGTGCTGTTGCAAACACTGATGTGCTACCTGGTGAGTCAGCATTTAGTCTGCATCTAAACCCAGT